CACCAATTAAGTCATATTTAAGTGCCGAATAGTAGATGCGTTACGAGAGAGTACAGTAATAAAAACAAAAGAGAAGGAGAAGAGATGCGAAAGACATGATAGAAAATAAGGAACAAACGAAACCAGAGCACCTGCCAACAACTTATCCACCCCCCTCCCCCTGGAAAAAAAAACCCCAAACCCCCAACTATTTTAGTTGCATGTTCCCTAAATAATTAACAGAATAGTAACAGCAAGTGACAAGTGACCACTACCGCATGGTGACTTGTGGAGACGCCACATGTCGGCATGTTTTAACCCATTTCATTGAGGGCGCACATTTTGGTCACTCGGCAACTCTTACTCTTTAACTTTAGGCTACTATTTTTTTAAAAGATATATATACATAATATAATAAAATTATATTTTAATTTAATTACCCATACAGATTTTTCAATTGTTCCCAAGGACAAGCAATAACATGAATATTATGAAATACAATGTATATTGTGCAAAATATACATGCATGTGTTTCTGATTTATGTATTTATAGTTGATGGCTTGAAATGTGTGGCTGCAAATTTTTGGCCTGCTGAAGGTCGGACATTAATTATATATATGTCGACGTCTTTGAAGAGTTAATAACCCTTGACCTCGGCAGGCACACACGGCTACTTCTACAACCAGGATCGCGATGGGGAGAACAGGAAAAACAAAACAAACAAAAAAACTTCGACCTTACGGAATAGTACGGTGTAGAATCTTTAATGCTGGGCGTATTTACGCCCAAATCAACACATTAAAATATATCGGAGGCGGACTTTAACCCTGTCTATCATGGCCAACTCCAATGTTTTTGTAGACAAATTTTATTAAGGCAAGATAAATTCGACTGTACCTTATATATAAAAATATGTCAAGAAAATCATGAAGAGTGCATATTTGGGAAAGATAAAAGAAGAATGGTCATACTAAAAAGCCAAAAGACACGAAGAGACACGAAAAGACGAGGAAAGACATGAAAAGCCACGGCAAGACACGATACCGGTCCTAATTGGGAGTGTCCCGCGCGCAGGAGGAATTCCACGAGCGAGCTATATGAACAAATTGATAGAGGTACAGAATAGAAAGTTAGGGTTGAGGCTAGGGATAGCTCGGTCGGTAGGGTTAGGGAGGTTTAAAGTTTGAGGTTGGGTTAGGGGTAGGGGTCGGGTCAGTGTTAAGGTTACAGTTAGTTCTCTTCTTTATTGTGTTCGTCAGGGTGGTCGCTCGTTACGGAAGTCCTTCCCCGAGCGCTCATATGACCTTATAAATGATGCTGTTGCGAGCGCCGTAAGACACATGCCAAAAAAAAAAAAAAAAGAATTCATGTGGAGAGAGTTGTGAGGCAAAATCCACAAGACCCGTATATAACGTAATTTTCCACTTGTCACAGTGGTACCCAGCGTTATAAAGTAAGGAACGTCCTATCAGAGTAAATACATAATTAAAAATAGATAATATTTTACTAATATAATAATTGTAAGTCGACAAAAAAGAAAATGAAACATTGAAAGGACCTGAAAGTCTCGGGTGTTCACCATGGCCGAATATAAACAAACTTGTAGGGACCGTGATGGTAGGCCTAAGGATTACCACAATTTTGATCAAAGTAACCCTGAAAATGAGTCTGAAGGGACACAAATAGGACGTCTTATCGTGTCTTTTTCATGTCTTTTTGCATTTTAGTACGACCCAAGAAGAACACTGAACTTGAAGTTCAGCATTCACAAAAGAGGATGGAAGAGGTGAAAAGACTGGTGGAGGACAAAAAGTTTATAAAACTCAATAACTTTCAATATAACTACTACAGAATGCAGACTTGGTCAAGTATTGTTTGGAGACAAGACGGCAGACCAGACCATAAAATTGAAAGACTTCAACCAAGTAGATCGGTCCCAGAGTCTTTAGCCTACTTTTGTAACTGTTTTCTTGTGCTTACTTCAGCAGACGTCGGCTGGAGACTGCAACTTTAGTCAGAGGTCCACAGTAATACACACAGAAGTGATGGCAAAATTGAAATTAATACAGAGAGAGGAAAAGATGAATGAGGAAAGAGTAATAACAGCAAGGGTCTCGTCAAGAGATTTCTAGGTTCTATAGATAAGAGTAAAAAAACAAAAGTAATCGTTATGTTCCCCCAAACAAAGTCAGAGAAAAACAGCTTGAGAAAATTCAAGAGTTATCTCTGCCTAAACTTTTAATTTAAATCCATCTTGGGTAGGCCTCGATCTTGCTTAATTCATCTTGTCAAACCAGCCGACAGCAGAGTCAAGTTGTTAAGTACGCTGTTGTACTTTTACATCCTCTGCCCCTCCCCCTCTCTCATGCCCATTGCTACTGATGACACAAGGCCAACATAAATCATAAACCCAATTATCTTGTAAAGAAAATTATATGCATGATATATATATCGCATGGCTACGTTCACGGCGCCCAGAATGCAGTTTGCAGGCGCTGTTTTAATCAGTGACAACAGTGACGTATACTTTTAATATTTTGGCCTGCTTCAAGCGTTCCGTTCCATCCCATGAGAAGAAGGAAAACGAAGCAGTGATCCTTGACCGGTCACTCATTCGTCATTTTCTCTTACACTGAGCTCTGGCTCAGAGCTTGCCAGTGTAAAGGAAATATATTAACTATATTATATTATATGACAAAAATGTATGCCTACCTAGATGTTTCAATTGCCCTATCTCGCGTCCGGGCGAGACTTGGGCCCAGCCTTGTGTTAGCACGTGACGGCCCGTGATAATAATATACGAGTGTAAACAAACGTTCCAGCGCTCTCGAGTTGAAAGTGTGCAATTTTTTCTGCGAGCAGTGTGTAACATGTGTGAGAGAGAGAGAGAGAGAGAGAAAGAGAGAGAGAGAGAGAGGGAGAGAGAGAGAGAGAGAGAGAGGGAGAGAGAGAAAGAGAGAGAGAGAGAGAGAAAGGGGGGGGTGGGGGTTGGCAGTGACGAAGCGTCTATATTATCAAATAATCTCTGTTTCCCTTCCTAATTTTGAAACACTGTCGCAGTCAAATTCACCCATAGACGTAATCTTCATAAATTAAATATAAAAAGAAGTTCATAGTCACCAATGAACAATAGGCTATGCCTAACATTCTAAACCGTTTCATTACCACAGAAATAGCCTGTTCACCCCTATCGGGCCACTCCATATAAGCAGTCACAAGCTTTGATTTAAGTAAACTTAAAGTGAGGCTGGAAGAGTCTACCAAAAGAGTTAGAGGTAACATGCCCACAGCACTCAAAACTGTTTCATTGCCACTCACCCTGTTCACCCCTTTCGGGCCACACAAGCAGTCACAAGCGCTGATTAAGTAAGCTAACTATTACACTGGTCGCGTCTACCTCACAGATGTGAGGGGAACTAACTCCTTAATAATATCTTGACTGCTGCGAGTGCTTGTTTTTTTTCCCTGGACTTTTTACCGTCCTAATCAGATCGTGACCTCAATTATGACACCGGCTCCAGGCCTCGAAAAGCTAGACAAAAACAGCCAAATGTGAAATAAAAAATTAATAATAGGCATGTTCTACCAAAGAGTTTAGAAAGACTCTCTCGTATAACATGTAGATCTAGTACTAACATCTCTGCTTCTTTCCTTGGTGTTTGTGTATTCATTTTCAAGTTAAATTTAATGTTAGTTGGAATAAATCTTTAATGAAATACTTTCCCGATTATTTTAGCGGTGGAACATGCATGACGAGTGTAAACAAACATGAATTCAGTATTTGTTTTCATTCACAATTTAGTGTTGCCGCCACGATTAATTACCCTGTCAAACAAATCAGCCTTCACCCTGGGGGGGAGGGGGGGAAGAAAGAGGGAGAGAGAAGGGGGGAGGGGAGAGGGAGGGAGAGACAGACAAAGACAGATAAAAATAAAGAGAGAA